ACTTGAAACCCTTACCCTTGAGTTACACAGTCGACAGCCATCACCTTGTGCGAACGGCTCAATCAATTTCGATGGTGAATATTTGGATTAGTACATTCGGTTTTTGACACAGTGCTCGTTGACCGTTACCTCAAATATTTCCATCGCATTTAAATTAATTTAACTGATGGGGATTTGACGATCTCCCAAAGAATAAAACCTACATCCAAGATCATCAACAGTGCCTGATGCCTGTGAACAAACGAATGGACTAATCCAAGCTTCCTATTAAATTGATTGAGACATTCGCACAAGGTGATGACCATCGACCGTGTAGCTCAGGGGTAAGGGTTTGAAGTCCCGACCCGACTGATCACGGTTCCAGTCCTGACAGGGACACAAAAAGTACGCATTGCTGACGAGTCCCAAACAGGACGAAACAGCTGTCCAGTGCTCTTTGTTGGTTATCACAAACATTTTGAATCCCATTTAACTGCATACAAACAGTGGGGAATTACCGATCTCCCAAGGAGTGAAACCCACCCCGAAGACCATCAACAGTGCCTGGTGCCTGTGAAAAACGGAATGGGCTGATCCAAACATTCACTTCGAATTTTATACTACAAACTCAACCGGGAAATGAAATTTGAACCTTGGAAATTTTAAGGAATGCGTATAAAAAAGACGAAAAGTAGTTACTGATTTTTATATATTCAAGTTTGACTTGCGTGGGTAGTGCTGCCTACTCGGTCGCCCAAGTTAAAACAAATAAAGGAGGTTGAAATTCTCTATCAAACAATATGCACCACCACATTATATATATGGTTACTATTTCGATTATAGTAAAAAATAAACGGAAAAGTAACTGGACTTATCAAGCCTATCTTCATAAGTCGTATCTTCGTAGTGATACAAGGTACCTATGACATCAGTAAAGCTGTACGCGATTCATTTTGAACAAACATTACTGACAGGTTTCTTAAAGTTTACAGAGTCGTAAGAGTGGCGAACGATAATAACACTGTCTTTATTTTGTCACTTGAATCTATTCCGGTCAACATCAATGAATTTATCACGACAAATACCACATGCAACCAGGTCACTTCATTTCACCTCCATGGCGATTTTAGAAGAGCGATTCGCGGACTAGACACCAGAAATGTGATGCGCTCGCAGAAGACATTAGCATTTTCACATTCTGCCCCCCCCTTCCGTTCGCCGTCCCGATCGTTTCCTTCTCTGACCTGTACCGAGTGCGATTCTCA